TGTTTGTTTTGTATTTCGCGCAAAGCTACACGAGGGCTATCTGCGCTAGCCTTCTCTAATTTAGCAGTGTAAGCCTAGAGAGAAGGCAGCTAGTCATCACCACCCACCGCCAACTCTTGGACTACCCTTTTACCAGCGAATAGTGGGATTGATCGTCACGTTATAACCCCCCCCCCCCCACCAACGGCTGAAAGGGCGAGCATGTTTGGTGGGACGGGGATTCTAACCCGCAGATTGCGAGACGAGCTCCCTAACCACATGGAGATATGCTTTGCCGAGTGTTTTTGCCTTATTTCTTCTCATAGATGTCGTCATCAGCCTTGGTATTCTCTCTGCCTTCTGGACTTCTCTCAAATATTCATACTAGCCAAATTATCAGATACTACCAGGCTGAAATCTTTTTTAACCTCACGAACTTATCAAAATTTCTTTTTTCGCTAGTGGGGCGAGGGAGGATATCAATATCCTTGAACACCCCAATTTAGGAAAGCTTATATTTCCTTTAAAAACTAAATCCATGCCACGATTTTATTCATTTATTTTGTTTGTTTGTTTAGGATGAAATGCCAAGGCAGCTCTCGGGGAATAAATAAATGTACATAACATCCCCAACGGGCCTTGTTCCATTGTTGTTGTTGTGCGCAAGTCCATAAAATAATTTGAGGAGACAGGTTGGACTTCTGATAAGCCCCCACGTACAGGCATACTAGCGACACGTACTGAAGCTATCGCTGAGGTCAGCCATGTGGTAGCAGAATAAGCCAAAACAAGTGTACATGGGTATATATTATGTTGCCCTGGTGTCTATATTTGCCAATTTCAACTGTTCCTAACACTCTTCGGTCAACATTGTGAAAGCTGCCTTACAATTCGCACCATGTTCAAGTACCGAAGAAAATTGATTTAACTTAACGTGTCGACTTGGCAAGACTGAAGTCAATGACCAGTTAATGGCCTGCAGTTCATCATTTTTGGAAGTGTCAGCACACGCAACCAACTAAGTTACCGGGACAGAAACTAATGTGGGGATATCTGAAGTCACGTGTAAATGTGGGGATATCTGAAGTCACATGTAAAGCCTGACACAATTCAGGATCTCAAGGATGCAGTTGTCCGGGAAGTAGCCAGCATTCCAGATGAGACGCTGGAGGAGTACATTTTTGAACAGATGCTGTGATTGATACATCGGATCATAGTGGCGCCCCCGGTGACAACATGTGGTAACTATGAGATCTAACATACTGAACTGCGAAACTTGCTTTATAACCACTCAGTACATTGATTAAAACGTGCGTGTATCATCCCGGTGGTTAAGCGCTAAATCTGTGGGCTTATAGTGCTAAAAATTGGGTTTCGATACCAGAGTTGGGTAGAGCACAGATAGTCCATTGTGTAGCTTTGCACTTAGCAACAAACAAAATATCATCCAAGTAAATCAAAAAGTGTTTTTTTTTTATATAATGTTGTCTATAATGATATATATATATTTTATATCAGTGTGTTTATATAATTTCAAAGTAATATGTAAACAGTGACGTATTTTTGTTTCGATAAACAAAATGTATCCAAGTTGAGGTTTATAGAAACATTGGGAACGGGTTGCCAAGCAACTTAACATCGATTCTACGGAAACATCAAGGAATTGAGTAAACTCGAAAGTTATGAATTGAAAACCAAACCATATTTATAAAGAGCAATAACTGAATATTGAATTTAACCAGTTTTAAAACGTGCACAAGTTAAGCTACACAATAGGATGCCTGTACCCACCACGAGAATCGAAACCCGGTTTTCAGGAGTTATAAGTCTTTAGACATACCGCCGAGGGGGGGGGGGCTATATGAATTGGATAACGACTGAAATTGACCACGTATTGCTTAGCCTTTGATCACGTGGCGGTAAGATACAAAGACAGGGCTTCAAAACTTGAAGGTATTTGCCACAGCTTGATCCGAAGTCAATACTTATGCACGATTTTCATTACACCACCTGACAAGAGAGTTATTTATTGTTCGAATCGCCGATCGGACTCTCCTCCTGCTCACGAGGAAGTCGGAAGGTTGTCAGAAGTGGGCCTTCAAAATTACAGGGTTTGTTTTTTAATCGGCAGATGTGTCTAGTAACACTGTTCGCATTTGATTAGCTAAGTGAAAAGCAAGTAGCCGTCTAACTGCACGACTTGCATGAGTTGGTGTACCATACCGTCTCGTTAATATATCATTAGGTGGCCCAACGATACGCAAACAATAGGTTCTTGCATGTACGACTACGCCCATTAAATGGAACGTGTGGTCTACAAAGAAATCTTGCCAGCTCTACCTCTTGTGTGTGTTACTAAATTAACAGAAGAGACACTTGGAACCTTTAGACATATATGTATGTGCTCATGTTCTCGTATAATGTTAGTTGTATAACAGTTTAATTTAAACACGCAGGATTTAAGAAACGGTCGTTTGTAAATGACCAAAAAAAAAAAAAGATAAAATAATTACAATTTACTGTTCAGATCATAACTGGTTTTGTTTATGAAACTGATGATATAAATAGCCGGTCTGATTAGTCCTAGTATTGAGCGAAAGGCCTCGTCGCACTGGATACGGCAGATTTAATGTGGTTGGCATATTATTACACAGTTTTGTTTATGAAACTGATGATATAAATAGCTTTTAGCTACTACTATGTCTGTCGTATCTCAGCCGGTCTGATTAGTTCTAGTATTGAGCGAAAGGTCTCGTCGGCACTGGATACGGCAGATTTAATTTGGTTGGCATATTATAGCACATGGTTCTTTGCTTCCACTCCTAAGTTCTTAGAACTCGTCGCTAGTCTACTTGCATTACCACTTACCCAGCACACACGTGCAATAGACCTTATGAAGATCGTGTGTTATTAAATAGCACGTGTTCAGTAGAACTGAAATAAGGATAGGAGGGGAAAGAATATTTGGTTTCCAGTTAGTTGTCTTGTCTGCAAGAGAGTTGCGTAATAATCCTCTTTTGAAACACCCCAAACTGGTTCATGTTACACAGTAACAGAAAGACTTGGCTATCATACAGGTCTCGTGCCTTGGTAACAGATGCATCTGTAAATTATCATAAAACACCGAATACTCTTCTCTGTTCCTTCCGGTATATCGTCATCATCTAACTATTTATCTGGATATCTGTCTACACAACCGGCTATCTCCATCTGGTTATCTGTCGACACAGCTAGCTATCACTATCTGTCTACACAACCGGCTATCTCCATCTGGTTATCTGTCGACACAGCTAGCTATCACTATCTGTCTACACAACCGGCTATCTCCATCTGGTTATCTGTCGACACAGCTAGCTATCACTATCTGTCTACACAACCGGCTATCTCCATCTGGTTATCTGTCAACACAGCTGGCTATCACTTTCTGGCTATCTGTCTACATATCTGACTATCTGGCTGCCTGTCTAAACATCTGGTTATCTATCTGCACATCTGGCTATCTACATCTAGCTATCTATCTGCACGTCTGCCAATATATATCTGGCTACATATCTGATTATCTCCATCTGACTATCTATCTGCTCGTCTGCCTATATCTATCTGATTATCTGTGTACACATCTGTCTATCTCCATCTGACTATCTGTCTATCTCCATCTGATTATCTGTCTATCACCATCTGATTATCTGTCTACACATCTGACTATCTGGCTGCCTGTCTAAACATCTGGTTATCTATCTGCACATCTGTGTATCACCATCTGATTATCTGTCTACACATTTGGCTATCTACATTTAGCTATCTATCTGCACGTCTGCCTATATCTATCTGGCTATTTGGCTACACATCTGATTATCTGTCTACACATCTGACTATCTCCATCCGATTATCTGTCTACACATCTGTCTATCTCCATCCGATTATCTGTCTACACATCTGTCTATCTCCATCCGATTATCTGTCTACACATCTGTCTATCTCCATCCGATTATCTGTCTACTCATCTGTCTATCTCCATCTGATTATCTGTCTACACATCTGACTATCTATCTGCACATCTGTCTATCTCCATCTGATTATCTACCTGCACATCTGTCTATCTCCATCTGATTATCTGTGTACACATCTGATTATCTATCTGCACGTCTGCCTATATCTATCTGGCTATTTAGCTACACGTCTGATTATCTCTATCTGGCTATTTGGCTACACATCTGATTATCTCCATCTGGCTATCTGTCTACAAATGTTTTAAAAGTTTTTACTTTGCTTATCATCCTGTGTAAGTTAATTTAATTGAGGTGATCCATCATTTAACTCAATTTTTCGAAGTTAAACAGAAAAATCAGCCTGTTTTTGTGGCCTTCTTCCTTTCGAAAGTAGAAAATATGTAACAATGCTTTTTATATTCCCACTGGCCGTTTAGTGCAAGTAAATCCCAAAAATTGGGCACGTGGTCTATCATAAAGCTGTTAGTCCAGAGAAGCCTCTCAAGTGCAGTATCGATCCCCAGAGGAACGAAACTTGTTCACCGTTACGGGGATCTCTCAAGCGAAATTAATCATGAGAAGGATAGTTAGGCACTGGTTTTGATTCTATAAAGACTCCCCCCCCCCACTCCACTCCACTCCACTCCATACTAAATGGTGAAATGGCACAAATAAGCAAGCGATCAGGTTATAAGCGTCAGTGCTCTCTACTTACACCATAATAAATAAAACTGTATGTTCTTCGTTTAAGAAAACAATTCATGGGGAAAAGGGGGGAGAGATGTTCGCATTACAGGCACTCATGTTTCCTAATCGTGCAGTTCCCGAGCATTCTTTAAGCTTTCTTCAACGGATAAATGAAGCGTAATTAAAAGAAAAATTTTATAATATTACAATACAGTATGCTTCTACTAAAATAGTAGCTAAAACTTCTAAAATAGTAATTTCAATTAATAATAGATAATTTTAATTAAGAGTAACAGGCAAACAACAACGAAAAAAAACACAACTTATATGACTCCTCTTCTGCCCTAGGTCATCAGTTAGGTACCCTCGCTGCAGCGGTGTTTTCGGTCATTAACCCAAGAAAACCTGACGAGGTTAGGCCTACTTAGCGAAATTACCAAGCACGAAAGCAGAATTGTCAATTATAAAGCTATATTTATCATGTCTATCCCAGTTGGCTGATGTAGTTATTACTACTTACATTTATTAATATTAATCTAATTAATATTACAAATAACCGTAATACATAGTGAATTATCTAAACGTATCACTGTAAATTACAAAAACATAAACAACTTTACGTCTTACTTAATGTGTGTGTGTGGCAAGTTCCACAGACCAATAGTACAGTTTGTGTGAACATATGACCGCTACTGTATCTAGTCTACAACTACCAGTCTCAATCCACCATAACGTTTGAGGCTAAATGATTGACTCAGCATAACGCATGTTAGAGTTTAATAAAACGCTAACTTTTTAAGGAGTAATGTTTGAGTTTGTGTTAGATTATGTAAGCATAATTCATAGCTATTATGTTAATTCATAAAATTAATTTTCATAATATCTTTATTATTGAAGACTGCAAAAACTGGCAAATTTCTTAGTCTTATACATTTTAGACAAAAAAAATGATGTGTGTGACTTCTTTCCATTTACTATAGCGTATGTGGGTGACCTCGCTAAAGCAAGCCTGCCCAACGGTCAGCCTTGAAAGACGGAGAGAAGAGAAAACCAAAGGTGACCAGTTTTAAATATGTTTGGTTTGATAAAAGTTTAGATTTGTGTTGCAGTATGTAAGGTTTGGATGGAAAAAAAAAGTTATCAAAATCCTTTAGCGACAGTGTTAATTATATAATGAGTACTGTGTTAGATTTGGCACAAGCGATGCAAATATCGATAATCGATACTATATCACCTATATCGATTATCGATACTATTTCACCTATAATTACATAGCCTCTGTACAACAATATGCATTTATATTGAGTATTATATGCTTGTAAATATATATATATCTATATCCGTAAGATTGTTTTTTGGAATTTCGCGTAAAGCTACACGAGGGTTAATTGTGCTAGCCGTACCTAA